GTATTTTAGATGCTCTTTCTAATGACATATTAATTGTGTTTGTCGGTTGTTTAATTCTGTTAATTTAGTGGGGTCGCCAGGATGACTTTCACCATTATATTCCCTATGTAAATACATAGAATTTTGACGCCGGGCAAGTTAATGTTTTAAGAGATTGGTTTAAGTTACAGTAATCAATTATATATCATTAAATAGATCTCGAAGAGACAAAGCTAATGATATATAAATCAATGTTGAAAATTATTTGGTTGATGAATAGATGATGCTCAAGTTTGAGTCCAAAAAGTGAAAAAATTGAAAAATTTAAGGTTAAATGAAATTAATGAGTAATATGCTTCTAGGAGTGAATCTGTTGTAGTCATAAAGTCTGATTACAACCAACAAAAACTCACTAAGTCCAAACTCTCAACGGTGAAATCAAAGTTTTTGGACATTGTCCTTTGTCAACAGTTGAGGCACAATATTTTTTACCTAACTCTTTACTCGAAAAATGGTTTTACATATCCTTCTAATTTAACAATAAACCAACAACCTGAACAACCAAAAATTTTTTCCCCCAAAGTCAATAGTAAAAGATACGGATTCTGCATTTTTTCCCCCACCCTGTTTAAACGCTAATTTCTCAGGGACCTGAATTCCGATGAAGTCCAGACTATTTTTCGTGGATGTAGTTTAATCATGGCTTTCAAGCTGTGAAAAAATTTTCTTTAGAATCCTTTCAGTTTGGCCAAAATCTTTACGCAAAAATTTCATGTTTTGACTTTATATATTGTATAGATATAGATTGTAAAATCAAATTATAGCAAACTAGTTTTATCTTGTTTATTGTGCTTTTAGACTCTACTAGCTAAAAAACGGAAATGTGAATCAATAAATTTAATTGATCATTAGAATGTATGCTTTAATTTTTATTCACATAGATTTCAGCAGTACATTTATATTGAGATAATTTGTAGGATTCATCTCATTTTCACTTTATTTAATCTGAAGCTTCTTTGGCCTCAACGGCAATTCTTTAGATTAGAGACTCATTTTATTCACTAAAAACAAATAATGAAATACAGCGATGTAAATTGATGCCAAAAAAGGTTGAATACAAACTCTTCGAATGGGCTCCGAGATAAAGAGTAACATAAATATTAATATTCATTAACAAAGACATCTCTTAAGATAAAAAAATAGATTTAATTCACTAAAAAAAGATCGCGAAATAAAGTGATGGAAGTTTAGAGACTAATTTCAAGCTCTTGGATTGGGCTTCGAGTTAAAATGACAAATATATTAATGAGTATGTGGTTTTCAATAATCTTTAGGAACCAAGAAATGTGGAAGGCCATCAAAATCTTTAAGAAAGCAATGTTTCATGAAATCAAAGCCTTGACTAATTGTTTCAATTCTAGTGGATAACTGAGGCCAATCTGACACGAGTTCATCGCGATTTCCTTTGAAGTAAAATTTGATTGATCGTCCATATCTTTTACAATAATCTTGGACGTAATCAGCAGCTTTTTGAGTGACTGCAGGGCAATTATAAATATCAAATAGTACTAAATTGGGTAAAATGGGAACCAATTGTTCGATATGTTCATCTTTTATGTAATGTAGGCTCCTCAACGAAAGATGTTTCAGGTTCGGATATTTGATAAACGCTCTTTCTAAATCATTCCAGTCGACACGGTGAGGACCATCCTATTAATATAAAATAAATTAGTTTATATTGATAAATTTTGAATAAATGACCATGTTGTCTTAACCTGGTTGATTTTAAGCTGAAATAGATCGACTCATTTGTATTCCGAAAATATTTTCAAAAAGCAATGAAATTTCAGGTAGTTTTGATACTTACAGTATAATCTATAACTAAATCTTGCAAACTTTCGGTGTTGGTCACATTGAGCAAAAAGATTTGAGCAAAATCCGTTTGCGCTAAGAAGATTTGAGCAAATTTTGCTCAAAAATTGTTGATAATTTTCAGAGATCATTCTTAAATTTTAAATCATTCAAAATCCTACAAAAAATATATCATATTAATTTTATAATCGATTATAACATCTAATGAATGGTCAAAATCAATATAACTGTCGATAAACTGAAAAAGGTGTTAAAACATTGGTGTGTACCAACAATTTTTATCGACGAATGATAAGTTTAAGCTCTAACTTTACGGCCACAGAAAGCAGTCGATCTAACTGAAAATCGAAGTGATCGGCTTTACGTTTTCTGATTTTTCATCGAAATTTACATCATTTAATTGAGTTTGATGAAAAATCTGCTCCCATAATTGAACAAAAGCCGGTGAAAGTTTCAACTTTGATCTCGATTAACGCAAAAACTAAACCTTAGTTCAAAATTGTGTTTGCTCTAATCAGTTTTGCTCTTAAATGTCTTAGCGCAAAAGGTTTTTGCTCAAAGCTCTTTGCTCAAAATAACCCAAATCAAACTTTCGTTTTTCAATCTTTTTTTAACCGAAAAGTAATTAATATCCACGGTAATATGTGCACTTTGTAAATTTGGACATGAATCCAGGAATCGGAAAGCCAAAGAAAAATCGTCCTCAGTTGATGATTTCAGTTCAAGTATTTTAAGCTTTTCAAGTACTGGACCTTTGTATTGACTATCTGTGGATGAAAGATTGATTTTCATAAACAAACGTTTTTGACAAAATATTTATATAATAAATACCATCGAGGTAAATATGTAGCCTTTCAAGATTCGGGAAATGATGTGCAACTGTTTCGAAATCCTCATAATCATACCAAGTGTGCAATTGCTTTATACTTGAGCCGTTTTTTAGGATACCTGGCTCAATACGACTGGAAGATACCATTTCGGGTTTATCACAAAGTATTTCTATATTTATATTTACATCACAGCAATTGATTATTCCTTTCAAAGATTTAAGATGTCTCTTTAAGAAGAAAAATTGTTCTAATTTTTCAAGATCTTCTGTTTCATTTCCAAGCTCTTTTTCTTTTTTTTCAAAATCTATTACTTTCTTTAAGAGTTCAATTACAATATAAATAAAATCTGAATTATATATCTTTGGATTGTGCAAAATCTAAGAGAATAAGATAAAGAAAATTGATGAAATGAAAAATGCAAAAAGGTATTTGATTAATAATATAAACTTACTGGTAAATTTGAAAATAATGTGCTCAGCAAGGTTTTATATCTAGTGCTCAAATCTGGTCCTTGATAATAAACAAGATCAGATGAATAGTCAAAATCCTCTGAAATTTCTGCAACTAAAAAATTGATCACAATTAGAGTAAGAATTAATGAAAATTTAGAACTTACCCATGAAATATTTAACTTTCCTCGTTCGCTCAGCGATTAAATGGCTCCATTTGATACACACTGAAAGAAAATTTTATTGACCAAATTTGATTATTCAATTGCTACACAACCAACAAAAAATTACTTAATCTGTAAAAATATTCAAATACTGCGCCTCAACAGTCAGATGATTGAGTGATGTTATGATCACAGGAACACAACTGATTCAGATGGAACTTTTAAAATAAATTATTATTCATTGACTATGACTAGCTACTCAAAAAATTGAGCTTATCGCTGAAGGTATGTAAAACTTCAATGAATTATATGATCTTTATAAAATGATAAAAATGTAAATGTTTTGGTAATTACCTTTATAGCAGTTTGCTAAATCTTCCAAGTTATTCAAATAATCAACAATGGTGAGTAAACAATCATCTGGAAGTTCATTAATAAACATTGTAAAATCAAACAATAGCAAAAACTACTTCTGTCTTGAATCTTGTGCTTGTAGCAAAGGGTCAAGAACTCTTTGGCTGTTAGACTCTACAGTTAAAAAAACGGAAAAATAGTTAATTTTGAATCACTAAATTTGATTGGTCATTAGAACGTATAATTTAAATTTAATTCACATAGATGTCAGCATTATATTGAGATAATTTGTATGATTTATCTCATCTTCAGGAACTTTAAAATTTTCATTCGTGCATTTAATGGTTATTACAGTCGTAAAAAATGGATAAATATAAATGCACGTTGATCAAGTCGTGGTTCGAGATTGCTCGTTATTCTGAGATGGATCTTTACCAACATTTTGAGGAAGATTGTTAGACACTAGGAAAAGATGTTGACAATTTATTGACATTTAACGATATGCTGAAACCTCTATCATTTCGATTATTTGGCCTCAACGGCATCTCTTTAGATGAGACAATACATTTTATTAACTGAAAAAAATCGGAAAAAAGTATTCCATCGAGTAAGAAATGAAAAAATGGGCTCGAGAAGGTACCATCAATAGAATCTCCTGATTTATAATAAACACAAATGATACAAATGTACTAGTAAATGAGTTACTTGGTAATTACCTTTATAGCAGTTCATTAAATCATCCAGGTAATTCAAATAATCAAAAATGGCGAGCAAACACTCATCTGGAAGTTCATTGATCAACATTGTAAAATCCAATTATCGCAAAAACTAGTTTTGTCTTGTTTATTGTGCTTTTAAACTCCACTAGCTAGAAAACGGAAAAAGATTTAAATGTGATTCACATAAATTGTTTGATCATTAGAATGTATTAATTTTAATTCACAAAGATATCAGCAGTATATTGAGATAATTTTTAAGATATATCTCATCTTCAGAATTTGAAAAAGTTTCCTTTGTGAGTTTATTGAAAAAATCAAAGTACATTTATTACCTGTCAAAATAGGGTTTCACATTCGCAAAAAATGGGTGTATTTACCCTGCTCAAGTCGTGTTTTAGATTGCTGGACATCCTGAGATGAATCTTTGCAATTTATTCGCATTTTGAACGAGCAAAGGTATGTAACTAAATTATTCCATGGTCCCTACTAGGATGAGATTGTGTTTCTAATCCATTCCAAAACTGAGTTAATGAAGAATCTATGTAATTTGATTGATTCAAGTCCGTAAATTAAGATAATAATAGCTAACAACCAAAATGTGTCTAAAAGTTAAGCATAAATCTAGAGTGGTAATCGATTTTAAAATAATGAAATTTAATAGTGAGAATAAGCTATTTTCAGTTAATGTCATTATCTGGTAGGTTTCTTTATTTACAAGAAAGAGATTGAATGCAAACACTTCAAATGGGCTTCCGCAGCCGAAGAGTAACAAATGTATCGGTAAATATGTATTTTCAATGTTAAATAGGAACCAAGAAACATGGAAGATCATCAAAACGTTTGCGAAAACAATGTTTCATGAAATCAAAGTTTCGACTAATTATTTCTCGTTTAGTGGACAGCTGAGGCCAATCTGACGCGAGTTCATCGCGATTTCCTTTGAAGTAAAACTTGAGTGATCGTCCATATCTTTTACAATAGTCTTGAACATAATCAGCAGCTTTTTGAGTCACTTTTTTACATCTAGAAACATCAAATAGAACTAGATTAGGTAAAATGTGAACCAATTTTTCGATAGATGGATTTTTTATAAAACGTATGTTCCTCAACGAAAGATGCTTGAGGTTCGGATATCTGATCAACGCTCTTATTAAATCGTTGCAGTCACGACAGGAACCACCATGCTATTAATAAAAAATAAATTAGTTTATATTGATAAATTTTGAATAAATGACCATGTTGACTTGAACTATACAACATAACCTAACCTGGTCGATTTCAAGCTGAAATAGATCAAATCATTTGTATTCCGAAAATGTTTTAAAAAGCAATGAAATTTCAGATGGTTTTGATACTTACATAATCTATAACTAAATCTTGCAAACACTCGTGTTTCAATGTTTCATCAACAAAAAAGCGATCATTATCCACGTAAAGATGTGCACTTTGTAAATTTGGACATGAATTAATGAGCTGGAAAGCGTAACAAATATCAACTGATAAAACTTCCAGTTCAAGTATTTTAAGCTTTTCAAGTACTGGACCTTTGTATTGACTATCTGTGGATGAAAGATTGATTTTAATAAACAAACGTTTTTAACAAAATATTTGTAAAATAAATACCAATGGTACGAATATGTAGTCTTTCAAGATTCGGGAAATGATGTAAAACTGTTTCGAAATCCGGATAATAATACCAAGGGTGCAATTGCTTGATATTGTAACCATTTTGTAGGATATCTGGCTTGAAATTCGAGACGGATAGCATTTCGAGATTATCACAATATTTTTCTATTGACAAATCACAGCAATTGATTATTCCTTTCAAAGATTTAAGATCTCTGAAACATTGTAGAATTTTTTCAAGATCTTTTGCTTCATTTGCAAGATCTTCTGCGTTATTTTCAAGATCTCCTACTCCCTTTAAGAATTCAAGTGTACTATGAAGAAAATTTGAATTAAATAAATTTGAATTGTGCAAAATCTAAGAGAAAAAGATAAAGAAAATTGATATTTAATGAAAAATCCACAATGGTGTTTGATTAATAATATCAACTTACTATTAAATTTGGAAATAATGTATTCAGCAAGGTTTCACGTCTAGTGCTCAAATCTAGTCCTTGATAATAAACAGAATCAGATGAATAATCAGGATTCTCTGGAAATTCTGCAATTAAAAAATTGATTACAATAAGAGTAAGAATTAATGAAAATTTGGAAAACTTACCCATCAAATATTTAACTTTCCTCGTTCGCTCAGCGATTAAATGGCTCCATTTTATACACACTGAAATGAAATTTTTAATGAATTACTGAATTTAGTGTTTTTACTCAATCATTATTCAATTGATACATAACCAGCACAGCAAAACTCAATCTGTGAAAATATTTAAATATAAGTAGAGTAAATGTAAATGAGTTGGTAATTACCTTTATAGCAGTTTGCTAAATCTTCCAAGTTATTCAAATAATCAAAAATGGTGAGCAAACAATCATCTGGAAGTTCATTAATCAACATTGTAAAATCAACAAATAACAATAAGTTTTTTTCAAAAACTTGTTTTATCTTGAATCTTGTGATGGTAGACCAAAGAGTAGAACAACTATTTACTGTACCGGTATTGCTCTTTGTTGTAGACTCTACTGTTAAATAAAACGGAAAAATAGTTAATTTTGAATCACTGAATTTGATTGGTCGTTAGAGTGTAAAATTTAATTTTAATTCACATAGATTTCAGCAGTTTATTGAGATAATTTGGAGGATTCATCTCATCTTCAGGATCTTTAAATTTGCATTCGTGAGTTTATTGGTTATTACAGTCGTAAAAAATGGATAAATATAAATGTACGTTGATCAAGTTCGAGATTGCTGGACATCCTGAGATGGATCTTTTCAATTTACCCACATTTTGAGGAGGATTGTTAGACACCAGGAAAAGATGGTGACAATTTATTGACATCTCTCGTGATGCTGAAACCTCTATCATTTCGATTCTTCGGCCTCAACGGCATCTCTTTAGATTAGACAATACATTTTATCAACTGAAAAAACCGGAAAAAAATATTTCATCGAATGAATTAAATTAATGGAAAATACATATTTATAATATTAATCAGGTTTATTTATTTATCAATTACTCATTAACGGTCGCCAAAAAAGTTTCAAGTTTACCAGTTATAATCTTATTGCATATTCAACCAATATAACAATGTACAATATATTAATATATTTGATGCGCCTAGGTTTACAAAGAAACTATCCAGTGATTTGAATTACAATCAAGATTATTTGCCATGTTTATGGATTGAAAAAGGAAAAATGATTAAATTGCAGAAAGGTTGGAAATAACATTTTTCAAGTTGGAGTTGTTTTGAAATCTTGCTGTTCCTACAAGTATTACATTCCATGTTTCTCCTGTATTCATGAATGGCCGTAATTGTTTTTAGAATAAATCTTTGCCGATTGTTCAACTTGAATATGGATCAAGCAAAAAATTCGTGATTTTTATTGACAAAAGCACGATTTGTTTATTTGACTGTTCCAAATAGATCAATTGATTAGACAAAAGACAATACTTTTATTTGGTGGACGGTTGCGAGTTATTAATTATTATCTTACAGAGGTTATTTTAAATTTTTGACCAATATTCACATGTGACATGGGTTTCGTTAATGTTTTTGAACCATGCTGATGAAGTGAGGGACAACCATCAACTGCCGTTTTCTCGAAGTTTTAATGGAGAAAAAATATTCTACAAAATAAAATTATTCATCCCAAGATGATAGTGGTAATGATGATAGAAGCTTTCGTTGATGGACACAGAAACATTTAAATGTTTATAGAAAACAATAGTTAATGAAGATGATCAATTGATGAAGTATAGTGAAAATTGTGATTAGCATGATGCTGATGATGTTATGGTTATGCTGGTAATGAGAATGATGCAAATGGTAAGAGCGAGTGTGTTTGTGATTGATGTGGAAGATGAAATTTGATTTGACGTAAGGACCGATTTGATTTCGAGGGTTCTTTGATGTACTCAGAAACAAATAGATATTTATAATTTAGTCATTGAGGTCATTGAGGTCACTTCACTCTTTTTTGCAATTGTCTTGTTCGATAGATGTCAAATGCTGGGGGATTAGCTGGATTTGAGTTATCATTTTCAGGATCCTCCTCGTCGTCATCATGTCCAATTATTCTTTTCATTCCTCCTGGTCCACCAGGTCCACCTGAACCTGAACCACCACCTCCACCGCCTTTCTCCTGGCTTGAGTTACTCATGATTGGATTAAATGTTTTAGACGCTTGAATTGCTGTCTCAAAAAGTTTAATGTTATGATGATTATTTTGGTCTGGTTTGTAATTAGGTTTTTCAATAGAAATGTCAATCTTGTTTGTGTTGCGAATAAGGTTCATCAACTCATCAACAATGACGAAGGGTCCATGGAAAGAGCTAGGGTGCGGTAATTGGGCTAGCAATTGGCCAACAGCTGGTGGTGGTGGAAATATTCCTCCAGGAACTGAATGTGACCCAGGAATTAAAACTATTTGATAAAGGAAAAACGAAAGTCATGAGTTGAAGGATGAAAGAAGCATAAAAAAATAAATACGATGTGAAGTGTGTGAAGTAATTACTGTAAATGTAGTTAAGAAACGTGAATAAAATGTAAAATAGTAAAATAATTTAAATAAATCCAAATTTTAGTTACTTTATTACAAAAACGAACCAACGTATGTAACTAAATTTTTGCATGGTCCCTACTAGAATGAGATTGTGTTTCTAATCCATTCCAAAACTGAGTTAATGAAGAATCTATGTAATTTGATTGATTCAAGTCCGTAAATTAATATAATAATAGCTAACAACCAAAATGTATCTAAAATTTAAGCATAAATCTAGAGTGGTAATCGATTTTAAAATAATGAAATTTAATAGTGAGAATAAGCTATTTTCAGTTAATGTCATTATCTGGTGGGTTGCTTTATCTACAAGAAAGGTAATAAAAAAACTGAATTTGATAATTCTCATCTGCTCACCGGATGTTAGAACTGGCTTATAGGGTATCATCTGATTAAGATCAGGGGTGACTTGATTTGATGAGCTAGGCTCAATGTTATTTGTAGGTGAATTTGAGTTAACAGGAGCTGGTACATTATTAATTGAGGCAGCAGCAGCAGCAGCGGGTCCAAGCAAATTACCCAGTGTTTGTGACAGTCCATTAGGAAGCGATGATTTAAATTGATAACCAATTGATTTTAATTCGTGTGTTGAGCAAGGCATCAGGTCTTGAAATTTATATCTATCAACAAGATACGCTGTCTCGGATGAAACTTTTGTGATCTCTTGAATAATAATGGCTCTTCTTTTTTCTACTTTAATTACAGAAGAAAGATCACCAATATTTGATTCAAATGTTAAAAAACGATTCCATATTTGTAAAGAGTCAGCTGGATCAAGAGCATTCGAGGTGAGGACACGTTCAAAAAGGACACGAGCATTGTTCTCCTCGTTCTGTGCTGAAAGGAAATCAATGTACGATGATATGTAATTAGCATTGTTCCCATACCGTTTAAGGCCCAACTCAAATATTTTACAAGCAACATTCTTGTCTTTCGAACAGTAATACTCCATTAGAGCAGCACAAGTGAATACCTGATGTCCACATCGAGGATCTTCACGGGCTCTTTTAAAAACATTTCTCGCCGCTTTTATTCCTTCGGACCGACGTGAAAATTTCATAAATTGTATATAGACTAGGGTAGGATCAAGTTTATCATCTTTTATATCTAAAAGTCTATTATAAATTTCAACAGCTTTATTTTTATTATTACGACCTTCTTCAAAATCAGCATAAGCAAAATGAATCAACAAACTTGTCTTGAGCAGGGTTGAGATAGCTCTCTCATAAACAGCCGAAGAATCTTCTTGTAAACTTTTAAATTGGTTCATATCTCCTTTGTCACTCATCATTTTAGAATTTTCTTCAAGATAAGCAGCATATTCATACCAAATATCGGGATAATGACCTAAACACAGAAGACATGTTTCATAAGCAAAGACAACTCTTTTGATCACTAGACCTGGATCTTCACTCCTTAGGGGATTACTCTTTTCCCAAGCTATGTATTTGCGCCAGATATCAACTTGTTTTAAATCTTCAGGTCGACAAGAGGGTGGTAGTGAGGGCGCATTACGATTAAGACCTCGAGTAATAGCTTCATATTCCTTGGCTACACGACGGGCATTCATGTAATCTCTACTGCGATCCGCTATCATTTTTTCTGCAATCATTTGGTTAATACTTTGCTCATATGCTATATAATCACGCCAGAATTGATCAATGTTCATCATTGGATTTATTACTCCTCGCTGGTATACTCTACGAACCGCAGTTATTTTTTGATTTTCCGCATAACTGCCAACAGCTTCCACATTTTTCAGGAAGGAGACATAATCATTCCAAATTGGGTACGAATGATTGTCAATACCAATCTTATCTAAAGCAAAATCATACGCTTGAGCCATTTTTTCCCGAAATGATGGATGAGGTGCTTTTGTTTCCTAAATACATTTAATAACCAGACAAAGAGAAAGAAAGAAAACAGACAAAATAGCAAAAAGGCCGAGAAAAAAAGGAGAAATGGGAGTAAAGCCGAATAATTATAATGGTAAACCATATGTACATGTAATATGGATTATATTGATGTGTATTTCAGTGAAACAACTTACTTTAATATAATTTAGGTAACATCTCCACAAATCAATGTGAAGAACTTTAATTAAACACCTTTGAAATAATTTTTCCACTTTATCATAGTTGCGAGATTTCATTTCATGATCAATATACAATTTCCAATATCTGCCGGTCAGAGGGAATTGTGTAACCAGTCTTTCATAGAAAGGACGAGCTTCTTCAAGCTTCTTGGCTCCATACTCCTTTATTAAAATCTGCCAGGCTTCGGTATCCCATGGATTTTCCTGGAGCCGAGCTTCGGCCTTTTGTCCTCTTTCCGACATAATTGGTAACCTACACGTAAAAAATAAACAATGCAAAAATGATTACAATTAATTGGCAAATGATTAACAAAACAAAATACAAAAACAAGAGGATAAACTACTAAAGAGCTCAGAAGGCTACAGCCAATGAGAAATAAGCGTCAGAAGCCATAGAAACCGTTCCGTAGCAACCATGAAATTTCACGTTAAAATAGCACAATTGTTAGCACAAACTATAAACCAACAGAAACAAACCTTGAGTAAAATGAATTCTGTAAAATCTGATTCTATCATTAGACAAACATGTTTATTCAATCAGAGTGTTGATTCTAAAGTTGACTGATGGTTAAAATTGAAGATTCATCGGTAAGTGTAACGATAGAGACTTGTGGTTACTAGTAACCAAGCAAAACGACCGTTTCTTGAGCATAAAATAACCAATCACTTTACGTGTTTACATTGAGAGGGAAATTTAAAAGAAAGACAAGAAAGTAAAATGAAAATTTTGAAAGCTTTGTAAACATGTAAATAGATGGCGCAGAAAAGGATGAAAATTGAAATTCTGCATTTCCAATGGTAAATGTAACTATTAAATAACCGGTAACTACAGTTGCTGTTTTTAGTGATTAATCAACATCCCGACATTGATATTTGCAATTGTTCAAAGATCCCTCACAATTGTAATTTTGTTAAATCATTTAGTTTACGAAATTTCACTTTATTTTCTTGAAATATTAATTTGAATTGTGTTTGTTTATTGTCATCGATGTTTAAGGAAATGCAAAGCTTGGCTAATGCTCAGATGACTGACGCGTCTCCTCATAAGGTCGCAGGTTTCTATCCTTATGCTGACAATGGAGGAACTCTGGCCGCTATCGCTGGTGATGGATTTGTTGTAATTGGTGGTGATACAAGATTAACCACTGGATATCAAATTTATTCTAGAGAAGCATCAAAGCTCACCAAACTTACTGATAAAACTATTATTGGTTCCTGTGGATGTTGGTGTGACAGTTTAACGTTTACTAAAGGACTTCATATACGTTTACAATATTATCTGTATGAAAACAACAAGCCAATCTCAACTAATGCTACCGCTCAATTGGTATCTAATATGCTGTATCAGAAGCGATTCTTCCCTTACTATGTTAGTACTATAGTTGCTGGGTTAGATGCTGATAATCAAGGAGCTGTTTACTCTTATGACCCAGTTGGATCTACTGAACGTCATCGATATCGGGCTCAAGGGACAGCTGGATCTCTAATTCAACCTTTCCTTGATTGTGTGCTCGGACGAGGTAACCAGACAGCTCCTGAGCCAGAAAAACTGACAAAAGAGCAGGCTATGATTTATCTAAAAGATGCCTTTATGTCCGCCGCTGAAAGAGAAATAGGTTGTGGTGACTTTTTGCAAATTATGATTGTTACACCACAAGGAGTGGAAGAAGAACGTTTCAAATTGAGAAAAGATTAATAAATCTGAAATAAGTAAACTTTAGTCTCCATTTTTCTGGTTCAACTTTTCATTACTACTCAAAGATTCATTAAAAGTTGTTTTGCTATCAAGAGTCTTAAGAGAAAATCAACAATTAAAGATTTCGTAAAATTTAAAGAAATTTTAATGTTTATACATTTACTGTTTCGACATCGACAAATCTCTATTTTGAGTAACCGGGACAAGTTGTGTGATAAACATTACATTACTGTGCATCTGGTTGAGCTGAAGGATGAGCAGCTTTGAAAGCTTCATGTTCCTCTAAAAGTTGGCTGATGCGGTTTATGATTGGAAATTGGTTCATATCAACATTAAATCTTCGAGCATTATAAACTTGAGGAACCAAGAACACATCGGCAATAGAAATAGTATCTTTCACGCAATATTTTCCACTTGTAGTCGCTAAAATACTTTCTAATGATTTAAACTTATTGTCAATCAATCGGTGCGCCCATTCCGCTTTAGATCCACCAAGTTTTTCAATCTCAGCTAAAACGAATAGATTTTGTAGGGGCTGGATTCCTGAGTTTATTGCTTCTGTTATGGCAATAGCATTTGCTCTATCAATCGGATCTTTCGGGTAAATACTTGGTTCTGGTTTATAAGATTCCAAATAATCAATGATTGCCATAGATTCAAATAAGGTATACTTCTGATTATCTTTGTTAACCACTAAAGCTGGGATGAAACCTAATGGATTTACTTTCAAAAAATCTGGCTTCTTTTGTTCTCCTCCATCTTTAATCAAGTTGACGGTTAGATATTCATAAGGAATTTCTTTGAGGGCAAGAGCTGTATGAAAAATTGAAGGTTAGATAAAGTACCTGATTTAAAGGTCGACAAGTATTTGAACTTACCAATTCTAACTCGATATGAACAAGAGCTTCGCCAGTATGAATAAAGACCTAACTAGGGATGAAAATTCACACTCACAATATGTAAAAATATTACATGATCACAATAAAACTTACCTTTTGAGCCATTTTGGACAATTACTCAATTCAGTGGTTGAAATGTTGAGGGATAGACAGTTCTTCAATAAAGTTGACTTTGATCTCTTTAAAAACTAAAGCAACCAGCAATTGATAAATTGAATCTTACAAACATTTCCTCAATACTTTTGATTCCATGGTAACAATCAACTACACTTAAAACGCCATTACGGTAATTGATTGTTACCTTGAATTGTTTACCAATTTGACAAACGCATTCAGAAAATTTTCTTCGATAGAGTTGAAAACAATATTTAAAATTGAAATATTGCTCTTAAATATTTTGTTAATGATGGAACAATGCAAAGATAATGTTATTAAGTGAAAGAAATGTATAAAAATTTATTTATGCACATATCGTAGGTACAATTTATAAGTACATTATCTTTTACATTATGTATACAATAAATGACAATATAAGAATAAAGATGATTACCAACAGCATTACTTTTTCAGTCTATAACAGAAGTTAATTGAAGAGAAAGGGTGAAAACAATTTAAATATCTGTACATCTATAACACTGTTTATCGTCAGTTGTTTTCCAAAAAACATAAATGATTGGTCAGAAGTACTGTGAACCCAGAATGGAGGAGAATGACACTAAGATTCGAAAAAATGACTTTGTCGTTAACAATTAAGAAATTAAATTAGTAAGGAATATCATTTGCCTTATAATTACAATCACATAAAGGAGCACAATCACCTGAGTGAAATTGTGTCTGTGAACAACTATGATTAATAACATTTTTAACGATAACCGTTCCGTTATCTAATAATTGAGCATGAGAGGTCATTCCCATTGGTATTATCTCAGGTTCTAAAGATTCAATATGGTTAAAATGGCGATCTTCAGGTGGCTTCTTGAGGATTCCATTAATATGTACACAATTATTGACAGCATTATGATTATCAAGGCTTGTTGGTTTATTAAGGCTTGCAGGTCCATCAACTATTAAAGAACCTGATTGAAGTCCATTAGAAGACACATTTTTATCAGGAATAGCATTACTGGCTAACCATTTCCAACTTTTGTGTTTCATACAAAACAAAATTAAGGCACAGTTAATTAAAGCAATTAAAATACCCATGGTGATAACCACCATGATTAATGTTAATTTTGCTTGGTCAAAAGATGAGGTACTTTCGGAAGAAGAAAGATCTGAGTTATCAATTAGAGGTGAACCATTGTTGGAAGCATCTGGAGATAAAGTAGTGAAGGAGACAAAATTTGATGGTAAAGTTGATGAGCTCGACTCAATCGATGAGCCAAGAGCATTGCGCGATATTATTGTGACTCCATATTCTTGGCGTGAAAGTAATCCACCGATGGTTAACATAGTTTCATTTGTTTCTTCAGTTAGGCGAGATTTTACTTGAATACTACGATTGGCATTGGACGTTGATGAAGAAGGGGAAGAAGAGGCTCCTGAAGAAGATTGACTAGATTCAGTTCCATGTATTGGCCAAACTTTAGCTTTGAAAAATTGAGGCAGGCCTCCATTGAAGCCAGGTAACCAAGATAAACTAACAGATCTATGATCAACACGAACAATAGTAATATTGGTAACAGGATCGGGAGGACTTTTAGGCCTCAAAGAGATTTCAGTAAATTCCGAGCCTCGTTCATTAAGGGCAATACACTTAAGGCGAGATCCAAACTCTTCAGCGCGAATTTTCTTAATCAAAAGCTTGGATTCATACAATTCTGGATCAGTTTCACTTCGACTTCTAGATACCATGAAACGATAGACAGCATCTGGACTGTAACGCGTTTCTCGAGTATAACCAATATCTTTATTAACTGAGTCAACCCATTTGAAGTGAACCTCAGGAATACCTCGCGCTGAACAGGTCAAGACAGTGTCAGCTCCTTCATCTATCACTACTATTGGAGAACGATTGACAATGATTGGCTTATATTTGAGGGATAACTTTAGTTTGGCCATCGAAGGAGCTTTAATACCATTGGAAGCTTTACAGGTGTAAAAACCTTCATCGGAAGAGTGGACATCAGAGAAGCGAAGGATCGATCGACCCTTTTCTCTGTCAACAGTTATCCTTGAATCGGTCAATGGAAATGACTGACCCGGAGGTGGACCTTTTAACCATTCAATAGTCATCTCGTTCATTGGATTACCAATTGCTTCACATGTCATTGATGAAGAGCCACTCAGTTCTGTGAGAACATTTTCAGAAGTTTTTACTATTGTGGCACCAACTATCAAATACAAAGTAAAAAAGAGAATTAATTCGTCAATCATTGATCATAAATTATTATTAAAACAAGTAATACTTACACAAAACATTAAGAACAACAGTTGCTTTTGTGGTTCCTTCACTATTGCTAACTTCGCATTCATATTCACCCCCATCATACCTTTCAACTCTAGATATTTTGAGAAATGGTCCATCAACCAAGATTCTTTCACTAAATTGATCTGGTCGCAGGTCATTCGGGTAATTTGCTTCTCGACTTGCATTGGATTCATATTTTTTATTTAATCTATGTGGAAGCTCTTCAATCAAAGTCATTCCGTTTTTGAGCCAAACATAATGAAGAGGAACTGGGAAACCAGAGGCAGTCATATTGATAATAAACGAGCTTTCTTCAATTACATCAAACTTTTGAAATAACGGAGCCGAAAATTTAGGTTTATCTGTAAAATGTTTAAAGAGCGAAAAATTGATAAAATGCACCAAAAATTAAATCAAACAAAAGATACTTACGTAAAACTCGAAGATGATAATTTTTCTCAACTGAACGTTCCATTAGTTTGTTTTGACTCTTGCAAATAACTATTGATTGATCATGTTTATCCGTTACTGACATTGTCAATGAGCTTCTAGTATTTTTACCACTATACTGTCCCTCAGTTATCTCGTCAGATGAGTGTTTCATCAACATGCCATTGTAAAACCATGAAACACTACAAGGTGGATTACACGAGCCAGTCTCACAATGTAGTTTAACATCATTCCCATGAGCAGGATGCTTTGGACTGGAATTTATTTTGATAGAAGAAGCCATAAAAATAACGTTTAAGGAGACTGAAGTCACCAAAGGCTCAGAAGTTGCTCTGTTTGAGGCTTCACATCGGTAAATGGCTCCATTATCTGAAGGTTTGGCTCGGATTATCAATTGGCTTGTAACACCGCTACTAGAAACTGTTGAAAGGCCATTAATTTCCCGGTCAGATCCAAGACCTTTATACCATTTAAGGGTTGCCAAAGGATTACCTCCGGTTGAAAGACACTCCAACCTGGACGTTTCATCTTCAAGTAAATTAGTTCCATTTTTAATCCCTACAATAGTTGGATGACCAGGAGGATCTGAATTAAAAAATAAAAAATACGCATGAATGAGAAAAATTATAATGTTAATGAGATGAAAAATAGTAATATTTGCATAAGTTTATATTAATAGATGGACATGGAATACTTCATCACTATTTGAGATTAGTTACCAAATATACTGACTATGGTTATACTGAGATGAATTAAAATAAATATGCTATTAATTCAGTTTTTTATATTTGCCAATGACAGGTTAAATTGTCTGTGGACAGAAAACTGAGATGAAACCTTTGATAATGGAAAATATAGAGATATTAATTCGAGCAGAATCTGGTTAGATGGAATGTTTTAGGTTAAACAGAAAACAGAAATTCTGATAAACATGTAGGAGTAGGAAATTAACAATAAAAACGTACATATAATCTGAATTTGGATGGTTTTAAAGATGGTTTCCTTAATCATCTTTGAATTACCAAAGCAGGTAACTTTTTTATAATTAGTTGCACTTGGTGATAATACAATTGTTATATTTGACAATGTTTTATATCCTTCCTTGACTGTTTCAATTCTTTGTTCTAATCCTTTAACAGGTAAACCATCAATAGTCCAACTAACATCAGTAACAGGATTTGAAGGTCCAATTGAGCATTCTAAATTCAATTTATCACCAAGTTTACCTTCAACTGGACCAGAGATCACAATTTTTGTTGGAGCATCTAAAGAAAGAGAGAAAAGCATAAATTAGGTTAAATAATGGTTTGTTATGAATGTTTGTCGACTGTAAACCAAACCTCTGGTGAATGGTCAGATTATAAAGTGAGGCTTGTAAGCAGGTTGGTAGGCATATACTTACACAAAACAGATAACTTGATTGTTGTCGTTAATGGTTTACTTGACACTAAATTAGTAGCCTCGCAAGTTATCAAGGCATTATTGTCACTTGGTTTAACCACAAAGGAATAAGTATTAGTTGAATCTTTACCATCAGCGGAAGATGAAAAACTTGTATCAACCGTAACATTATCTTTTAACCAGAATAGTTTAGGTGAAGGATTACCACCTCGAGAAATACAGGCTAAAGTTAAAGTATCAAAGGCACTTATTTGATCACCATTGGTGTATCCTTCAATTTGTGGTGTTCCAGGAGGCACTGAATAGGAAAAACAATTGAATAAAAAGCAGAAAAACAGAAGGATTTTAATTAATCTTCATCATAAGTAATGTTATAAAGAAAATAAAAGAGCTCAACAAAATTGGATTAAGATTCCTTTGAAAAGCTTTAAGAGTAAATCAATTTGCATGATAAACTATTAACTTTGATCATCCTTGTATGGATAATTAATTCACATTTCAAGTAAACTGAACAATTAGCGATAATCCTTGTACATTAATCACAAAACACAAGATCAATAAATTGCAAGAAACAAGTTGAAAAATATTAGCAAGCAAAGTGAAGAGACAAGAAAACAAAGTCCCAAACTTATTCTCAATTCAAGTGAACAAAGCTTCACAAATGAAAATAACTTTCCTTTAAATGATAATTGAAATGAAAACTTGCGATTCTTCTTTAATCAACTCAACGAAAATTATTCCAACATATGAAATGTAGGTTAAATAAACAAATAATCCTGAGTAATCTTTGGAACTAAGAATTTAAATTGAAATTTTATCCTCAGACTTAATAAGATAATTTGATTCTTGAAGTTTACCAGAAATTTTAAACCAAAATTTGTTAACATCATTAGCCATAAGCTCAACATCTTGACTAGATGAACACCAATTTTTGTTGAGGTGATCTATTTCACTCAACTTGTAACAATTGGAATCGATCTGTGATTTGTCACAATCAATTAAACACTTTTTCAGCAGCAATCATAATATCGAAAACTTCAGCTCATGGTTAACAGAATCTTGAATTTGCTTGAGTTTGTTGAACACAGGTTTTAATATCACCGAGCACAATTGCCTATGGGTTACCAATGCAAGAAGAGTTCACAGTCCTTTTGCTTTTATTTCAGATTGTCTTTCACATAAACTACCTTCTAATTCAATTTAATTTCGGTTCCAGTAAGATATCAATAATTTATCCTGACTCTGCAAGTCAATTGGGTCTGATCAAATATTCAATTTAACCATTTATTTTTAGACTTGGAGTGAGTAAAATTTTCAAGACTGGCATTTTAATCATCAATCTATTAGAGCAACAAGAAGCTGAACGTTATAAAAGTGAATTGTAACACAATATAAAAGTGTATAATTTTTTCCCTGTTAATTTGTGGCAGAAACAACTCGATGTAATTAAAGTACTAGAGTTTAATTAAAAAGCAAGAGCAAAAGAAAAACGAGCGATGAAAAGCAAGAAAAAGAATAATGAATTTACCCTTTTCATTGTAATCAACTTTTCAAAAAACAATCTATTGTTTAAATTGTATTGAAAGGTAAACTCGCTGTAAAAAGAGAGATTCGTTCATTATTATACTCAACACACATTATATGATCAATTACATATTGAAGTTAATTTACGTACACCAGACAACACAAGATTGATCACGTAACCCCAATAATAAACTATGATAATTATAGCTAAAGTTGTTGTATATGTAATCACGGATGATTGGAATCACAGTTAAACACTTTGTTCAATCCTGGGTAAATCAAGAGTCAACATTAAACATGTAAAAAGGCATTGAGTTTATCCAGCAGACGGTGTAAAAGGTTGGCAGGCAAAAAAAGTGAAAAAGAGAGAAGCGAAAATAACAATTGATGAAATAAGATTAACTATGATATAATAAGTTGATCATAAATTAAATAAAAATACTCGAGTAATCAAGTTAACCAGAAACAAGAAACCAAAATAAGAAACACTCAATGGAAAGAAATCACCAGAAGAAAGGCAAACAATAAAAAGAACCAACACTAATGTAGAAATGGTTTGTTATATTAAATTGAGAGGCAAAAAAGATAATTGTCTTTGATTGTTTATTATTTTCACCAACAAAATCATAATGTTAACTTAATGGTATCAACTATATAACATTAAATTCAATTTACTCTGATGTTAAACATAAAATAAAAAAGCCTAACAATTACATGCAATGAAAAAAATTAACCGATCTCGTCTGTTAATTATGCTTAGCCAATGGTAAACCTGGTTGATCGCGCCTTTACTCACACTCATTTTAACCAATCAAAACAGAGAGGCAAATTTAAACCCAATTTAGGTAGAGAACCCAAAAATGATTAAAAATTTCTGGTTAAATGTAAATTTTCAATCAAGTAGTTGAGTCAAAAAAGTAACACATTGAATATGATTTATTATGAAGAGTAACCCAAAAAGTAAAAACTAAGCAAACCTGCATTCATTTGAACATTAAAGGTAAACTCAATTTATAAGGTAACTGGATAAAAATTTATACCATTCAGATAAATGTGAGCTATCATGATAAGTTAAGGTTTAATAACAAGAAAAAAATTCACATAAATAGATATTAAATGGAATAGATGAAAAAAGGAAAAAAACTGAAACTCATCCAATGTGTTACAAATGATTTCATTTTGTTTATTCATTTTCATATTCAACTTTTGTCATCCTTCAGACACTTTATATTTTCAGATTAAACCCATTGAACCATGTAATAAACCCTGCATGGAAACAATCTTATAATAAATACAAAAATTGTTCACCAAAATATCCTAAAAATACGAGAAAAGAGAATCACAGAGTTGATAGAAGTTGAAATCTATTGACATTTTCCTGTCCATATATTTTCCTTATTGCTTCAATCGAGTATAATTTAGAGAATCTGTTTTTCCTTCAAAACTATAATCAACAATTTAACTCGATTTAGCTTCAAATGAATTGAAAGTTACAAATAATTAGAAATGGAGAAAATCTTTCTGCAAATTACAAGATTCTTGAGCCATTTACGTTTATCCATTCAATCGTTACTTTGGAAATGAATTTTCAATTCGATTGGTTTAAGAGTAGCAACGGAGGGTTAATTTGATTACTGTTTCAACTGTTGAACAAAAAGTTAACCAGATTTGCTTGGAACAAGAAAATGGTTGAAAAATTTCAATCTTTTCTTGGGATTGATAATGAATAAATTATCATTTTAAATGGACAAAATGTGTAAAACTGGATCAGTTTGATTCCATTCAGTGTGATGTTTATCATGAACATTGAACATTTGTTAACATTGAGCTTTATCATTTTGTGAATAAACTGATATTGATATTGAGTGAAAACCAAGTGTTTAATGAACCAAATCAAATTGAACCTTTGATTTTTCCATTGATTCTCCTGATGAATGAACCAGATTGATTGAGATAATGAGTTTTTCATCTCTTTTCCTTCTTTTCTATGAACACACAGAAAAATCTCTTTTTTCCCTTCTTTTTCATGGAAACTTTCCCTTTGTTATTAGCAACTACAAGCAACACACAGTTGCTTTATGATAATAATGGTTGAACAAGATCAACTAATGCTATTCTTATTGATATTTCATTGGCATTTAACCAATGATCAAATTGTGTTCAAATCATGTTCAAAATCAATCAAACTGTAACCTTTGCTTCAACAGAAACTCAGCTAAAAGTAAGAAAGAAAACCAAAAAACTGAACAATTCTTAAGATGAATTGTCTCAAAGGCTGTTTTAAACTTAATATGATAACTTGATGGTAATTCAATTCATGTTCACCTTTGAAGCTTTTAAATGTTTAATGCAGTTGAAAGGTAATGCAAGACGCTAAATATAATGTTTGATAAAATTGGAAGAAACGTTTATTCTTGGGAGTTGAAACTCCCTGTTGGGTTATGAACTTGATCATGTTTGGATAATGTGACATTTTTCAATGTAATTGAGAGTTTCATTTGAATTGGCAATTTTCCTGTTTTTTTGAGATTCTATTTTTACTCCATTCTGTTGGTATCATTACACTGCTCTGAATAGAGTTGAAATTAATGTCTCAAGGTAAATGATGAATGGAAGGACAAGTGAAAAGATTAGAGCGGCAAGTAGGAGTGGAACAGTTTCATCATGAACACCATCTTTTGTCATTTTTGTTTCGTTTCCATTTTTCTTTCTCTTCATCATTCCTCTCTCTCTTTAAAGAGCCATTCAAGGCATCCTTGACTGTCTTTGCTCAATCTATTGATAGATTTGTTCATCAATCGTAGTTGTGATAAACTGATAAGAATCAGAAGGTTACAAGTGATCTTGTTGGCCAGCAAAAAGTGGCTAAGAATGCTAATACAACATGAGATACTTTGAGTTACGCCTACGGCTAACAAGAGGTTCAATTCAACAGATATAGTAATGATAGGATCGCTTCAATTCTGAGAATTAAAGATGGGTAAATGGTGAAAGAAGGTAAAGCCCATCATGATGAACATGTTAGAAGAGAAGAGTTTGTTTTCTCCAAAAAAAAGAAGGCAAAATACATCAATCACTGCTCTGCTAGATTTAAGTATTTTTTTCTGATAAACTCACTTTTCCTCCATCTAATGTAATCCAGACTCAAAATGTAAAATAAAAAGCTAACGATTCATCATTTACCAAATTGCAACACCTTGTCAAATGTGATCTGACAGAATCACAAACAATCATTTCATCAAAGTGGCAAAAAAGTTTCCTCTAAAATCGTCGAGCATTCTAATGATTTTGAAACTCGATTCCTTCACAACTTCATGTCACTAAGATCAGTCGAAATGCGTGCATTTAGTCAAACTAACGATATTTGTTGAAACTCAAAAAAAATATATTCGAGTTACTTTCTCATCGACTTTACATACTTGAGTCAAGCTTGAGTTTTGTGACTTTCTATCTCATCCCAAGTATCTTGGCCTTAAGATAACATTGAATTGTGAGATCAACTGATGTGCATAAATTGGTTTACTTTTTCATTGTTGGTATTGCAGAACTGGCTTGGACTGTAAGCTATCAGCGACTAAGATTCATAAGAAAATCAAATTGTGTGACTTCGAATGCAATCGAATGATTTCTAACTTTTAAGCAAAGAGGTTGATTCGGTGTTAAGTGAAGTTATGAGTTCATTTCTGGGTTTTACTGTTTTGTTTAATGCAGATGAAGAGTAGAATCAATTTTGACTTGGTGAATCTTTTGATATTTTTAATGACTGTTATCGTTTAATTAACTCTTATTGATGGGAATGTTAAAGGACAGATGAAAAGTTTTTATTGATTCCAAGAGAAAGTTTAATCGAAGCGAATGTATCTGTAAACAATTGTGTTCATCAACAAATCGTTTCTCAATTTGCACCATAAAAAGGGAAGAGAACGAAAGTCAATATTGATTTTGTAAATGCTTTTGACCAAATTTGTTCACCATTTATTGATTACACTCTTTGCAAATTAGTATTTTCCCAATCAATAAACTATCCAGCAAAGTTGATTTCATTTGCTAATGCACATTAATTAATTTTCCCTGTAAATAAGTAAATAAGAATAGAAGCCAATTGAAGATCAACTTTTAACATTCCCAGTGAAATGAAGCAAATCCAAAAGAGCAACTCAAAAGAAGTGCAAAAAAAACGAAAAAGTGAAATGCAAATTTCAATTATCCAAACATGAATTTTACATCATTAACCAAGCTTATAATTAAAACTAAACATGAAACTGAATATCAATTTTTCGCAAAACTGTTATTAAAACAAGATAATGCAGCCGAAGAGCAAAAAAGTTGACTCGATTAACTCACCTAAAACACTGATGGATAAAGTGTTGACCAAGGGTCGACCAAGAGCAGGATGGGTTGCTTTACATGTATACTGGACACCATTATCGTCGAGTTTAACAAACAGTGACAAGATGGATCGAGTCGAAGTTAATTTACCATTCAAACCGAGACCATCCATAATGAAGGTATCAAAATTTTCTGCAACAAGAGGAAACAATTAGAAACGAAATTAGCTTTAATTTAAAGTTGAACATCTCATCAAATCTGAATCATGATGAATAAAAGTAACAAAGTAATATTTTCTTCTCTTGTTACAGGGAATTAAACCAAACCTCTTTCACCGAGCATCAACTAATCAACTAATTGTGCTATTGATTAGTATGGTAAAGAAGAAAAAAATTGACTTCGAAAAAAACGCAAGTATTCTTTTCTCTTCATAATTATCGTTGGAATTATCATTATTATCATCGTTGGTATCATTGTTATTAAAGTTATTATTGAAGTTGTTATCATCATTAGTGGAATTGTGGAGAAGGAAAAATTTGTTGAAAAAAAATGAGCAACAAAAAAGTTCGTGATAAGTATCTTAAGTTATCCGAGCGATGAATATGATGCTTAATTAGCATTAATTACAGTCATTATGAATCAACTATTCATCATTGGAACTCTTGGTGAGACAAAAAGATGGTAAGATGATGATGAACATGATGAGGTTCGTTGCAACGAAAATGGAAACTTTTCTTTTCTCTGTTTTCATTGTTGGCCAATTTCTTTAAACAATTGAGTTTCAATTGTTTCACATTTAATCAAGATGAAGTTGATTTGATTAACTGTGAAAAGTATAGTTAGAGTTTTGCACATTTTCACATTCAAATGAATGGGTTGATTGAAAGTGAGCAAATTAACTTTGCATATTGAGTAACATGCTAATTCAATAAAATGTTTAACGAAAATTCATTTGGGAATCTTGATCAAACAGCATTGAAAGTTAGTCTTTTTTTTGTATTTTCAAGATTCAATCAACAATCTTTGATTTTGCTCATTATTCAATGTTCAACATTTGCTCATTCATTAACCATCGATTCTGGGTTAATCTGATTATCAAATGAATTTTGAGGAAAAAATGTTTTCAACATTTTGTAAACAAACGAAATTCAGAGATTTTCTACTCTTCTCTTCGTCAAATGATTAATCTTGTTTACCTTTTAATATCTGAGTTTCAGCTCAATATTGAAAGTCTTATAATCTTTGACAATTTGAAATTCAGTCTGAAAAAGAATCGTAATTTGGAGGGAACTTGAAGGGATTTGCGTTTTTTGTAATTGTTGGTTTACTTTGTAATGTCATTGGAATGAAATCAGATTGGATTGATTAGTGATGAAAATTGTGATTTAGAAAGATTAATTGGAATTCAATTATGACAAACAATTGATTGATGAACATTTTGCTCGATATTTAATCAGACGTTTTTGAAAAGGTAAAGACAATGAGATATGTTTGGTCGAATGAATAAGATGAGGAAAATGATGAGATGGTGAAGAGATGAAAGATGAGGATAAATAACCTTGTAACCTGATCTCATTGTCTTGTCAATTTATTTAGCATCATTAAATGTATTTGTAGAACCATTAAAGTGTTTTTACTGTTGATGAAAAAATCAGTCAACATTAGCTTATAAGAGTAGGGAATGGAGAAAGGCTTTTGTTCACTCTTTGCATATCATTATTTTAAGTGTATAATGAATGGTTTGATTCACAGAACTCACTGAACAATTGGAATTCCAAAAATTCAACTTTATTCAGTCAAATAGAGATGTTATTTTTATCACTTGAGTTTACTTCGAGTTGCACCTTGGATGGCATTTTAAACATTCTATTTTTTCTCTTGTAGAAATGCGTCATTCGTCAGTTTTTTTGTTCTGTTGGATGCTGGGATTGGGTTCAGTTTTAATGGTGTTTTTGGTCTCGTAATTATCATGTTTTCTCGACTTTTTTGTTGTTGAAATGGAGGGAATCTTTCGGAAGGAAGTTTGGGTTCGAAAAATGTTTAATCAACAGTTCTGATGAGATTTGTGATCATTTTTGATCATCATTATTGCTCAGTGTTTTTCATCTTCTCTCTTCTTGGATTAATGGTTTCAAATGTTTCCATCGATTTTTGCTTCTGTCTTCTTTTATTGAACAAGTTGAGTAAGTTGCTTTCCAAAACAATATTGATGATGAAAATAATGAAAGGAACAAGAGAAAAGGGCGAAAATTCTGACAAACGGAAAGATAATAATAAGAGCTAATAAGTGAGAGCATGTGAATCTCAACAGGAATCAGAATTGATAACTTTTAAGAATCTCTCAAATTATCATCGACTTGACTTTGGTTAGGGAAGCGAAAAAAGAAACTCTTGAAAGTTGAAGGAAAAAAAGTTAACAACTGAAATACTGAAAAGACTGAAAAATCAAGATAATCATCAATTATTCAGAATCATTATTTTTATTATCCATTTCCGAAGAGAGTCAAACTGAATTTGGATTTTAAATTTAAACCCTTTTCTCTTAATCAATTTATAACACTGAACTGATGGAGTTTGGTGAGCATTTGGTTTCTTCAAGAGACAAAAGAGTCTTTTGATGGTAACTTTGTATCTTCAATATTATCCACGGCAACTTTTATAGACATTCACAACAGATTTCATACTTAACCGGTCTGACCTCCAAGATATACAGATGTACACTTACAGCTCAAGGGGTGGCTTGTGTAAGCCAAGCAACTCTACAAGAACTTTGCTAGGACATTCATCAGGAAAACTCTTTACTTTTGTTAGAATAATAAAAACTGAAAAAAGCGAATTGAAGTGAGTGTATTTATTCATTAACTGTCTAAATTAAAATAGCAAATGCTGCATCTTCTGAGAATGCAAGGTTAATTGAGGTTAAACTTGAATCAATCATTTGTTTAACTTGATTTCATCAGTGAAGAGCTCTTAGAGACACTTAATTGTGTCCCTGAATAAATTGATTGAATCAATTAAAGTAAACAATTGAGCCATAAGTTATAAAAATCGGAATGAGCTTTAAACTTGAACAATTCAAGTTTAATTAAAAACACGGCTTAAGTGAATCAATTAATTTGTAGATGCAAAAAACAACTGAAAGCAAACTATTAAAGTTGCGAATGTAAATCAAAAAGTAAAACTTGATGAAGCCATTTTCACATGATTTTTAACTTTTAAATCGATTGAATCACTTTTTTATTTTGTTCATCAACTCAATCAAAAATGATTCATTTGCAGATTAGCAAGAGATTGAAAGTACTGTTTCTTGTAATTATTTCACTGATAGAAATTAGTTTAATAAGTTAACAGATTAATGAAGATTCTGAAGATGATGATCAAAGAAGGGGAACAAAATAATCCAAGAAATGAGTGTTTCTCCTGTTTGGCTCTTCTTTTACTCTTCACAGCTCCTATTTATCTTCATCATCATCTATTTCACTTTGAGCACATTTTCACCCATTTCACATTCAGCCTACTTTATCTCAATAAAATCTGATCAACTGTTCATGATGTCTTTAATTAACTATAGTTAAACGGTGTGATGATAACGAAAGTTAAACAACAATGGAAGCATCAAAAAGACAAATAGATTGAGAAAATAAGTTTCAGTTGAACAACAGATAAACTCTTATTTTCTTGACCTCATTTTAGGAACTCAATGGTTCACCAGACTTTTCAATTGCAATTCAGATTCCCAATCAAATTCAGATTCAAATTTATCCTCAAACTTTGATATCTAACCAATAACATAGAAAGTTGGACACAGAAAAAAGTCACATTTTACTCCAAGTTTTAAACCAACGATGCAAGTGAAAAACTGTGTGTAAATACATGAACCATGCAACACCAAGTAATAATGGTCAAGTTATTAACTTAATCAATCAACCTTTGGCTAACCAAAACACAAGAAGTCGAAAAATCTTTCACTTTGATTGATCATCTTTCATCGTCATTTCCCATTCCCAGAGACTTATGAATATTTCAACCTGGCAAACTCACTCAGTCCCATTAACCACAGACTACAATGAGGGTCTTTCCGTGTTTTACATCGCAAACACATCATTCATCAGCACTTGCTCATCAAACCCACAATCATATTCATTACCTTCATCTTGATCAACATATCGAGCTTCATTAAAGTCACACTCGTTAGACCATAAGACAAGATCCTTTCAACCTAACAAGTCACTTCTTTCCCCATCAAAAATGACTTACATTCAGCCATTTCTACGTCAAACTTTCTTTCCTAATCAAGTCTTCATTTCAATGCAAAAGTCTGAAGCTTACAGACTAATTGACCACAAATATTCCAAGCCACTCAGAAGGTCAGAAAAAAACTGAATCGTATCATCGTCACTGTTTCACAGAAAATCATTTATCATTATTATTAGTCTATTTTTATTAGGCTAATCGTCTTGAACGCTATTCATTTGTTAAGTTAAATTGAAATATGAACTTCAACTCAATCATTTTGACAATCATTGACCCAAATACATTGGATTAATAAATCAAGCAAAGTTACCATTGAAGAAGATTACGATTGAAAACAATTCGAATTGAATTTGAAGAGAAAAAATCATTTTACTTTTTCTCTCAACCAGCAAATTCATTAATCAACAATTTTTCATTTTCAGAAAATTCAATTTTCTTTTATTGAATGAAAAAAAGTATAATTCATTTACAGGGTAAACGTTCATCAATATGAATTTGGTTCATTGTTTTTTATTGAAAACAATTTCAATTGTTCAAATTGATCTCACTGAATCGAACTATTTTTCCTTTTCTTTATTATTCAATAGCCAATTGTTCCCTTCAATTGAAATAGATAAAATTAATGATTATAATTGTTACAATTAATGGTTATGCATTTGAGATTCAATTTCATAATTATTCACTTTCTTCCACTCAGTACATCAAACCAAGTTGAACCAAAGAAAACGTTGAGTAATTAAAAAGCAAACTTTCCATTGCAATTGTTTCCAATGTTTGATGCTTAATTAGAGCCAATCACGCAAAACTTGTTAAATTATTGCAAGGCCAGAGTTATCAGGTTTAATGTTCAATTTGCATTTAACATGTATAATTATTATGCATCAAAAAATCCATGTTTCACTCAAAACTTGTATTCAATGTAACAATTTCGATGGTCCCAATTGAGCCTTGAAATTATTCCTATTGTTGACCATTTGAATCAGAACATTATTGTTTTATTAAATATACATTTTGCCCTTTCATTAAATGCAAAATATAATAGCAACATTTCACAGAATTCTCTATTCCAGTTTCAATTGGAGTGATTTACATGATAACTTTTCCAGTTTAAAACGACATTATGAGTAGTTAAACACAGCATGTGATTTAAAACCCTCTATTCTGTCACAGAATCCCAGCATTCAATGCTCGATCAATAATAAACAGGATATTTTAGCTAATCTGTATCATTTTTTCAGATAGCCCAAGTGTCTTGAATTTTTATGTACTTTTCATCAATTATTCGTTATATCCAAAGTACGAGCCTTATTCTTGCATCGAATGACAATAGAGATTGAATGCTTGAACCTAGAACTGGTAGAATTATGACATTGTTTGCAAAATCGGTGATTCTGTTTTGATATTTCCTCTGTTCTGTTTTATTCATAATAGTTGTATAAAGTTGTTAATTTAAGTGAATGATGCATAAGCTTGGCTATTTTGTGTATGCGAGTTGCAATGACCGTCATCTTAGAATTTGCATCTTATCTGTTGAATGAACTAAATTAAGCTGAAGGAGTTCTTCGAACTTCATTGTTCCTTGCCTGCAAGAAAATTGCTATCGATTCCTCCCATCAGGTCAAGATAGAGCGTTGTAGAAGGAATGCAAAGAAGGACTGTGGTTTGAAAACAAATTTTACGTTCGTCTCAAGTTAATGCTTGTTTATGCTCGAAACCAATGAAAGTACCGAAGTAAAGAACATAAAAAGCCATAAGATGGAAAACCCTTCTATGTATCTCACCATGCACTTATTCATTTTTGAGATGCTTATCATTTAAGGACAAAACAGTCAAAAACAAGCAAATCATCAAATTGTTGAGACTTTTTATGCTATTCCTCAACAAAATGGACAAACTCAACTCAATCTATTTTCTATTATTCATAATAGATGCATCCATTCGCAAACACACAAACAATTTATATCAACCAATTTGCTTATGCATTCCATGCATCTCATCATTCATCATGTGACACCTTCAAACTTTACGATGAAATATGAAATAAATGAAAAAAACATAATGATGATGGCCTAATATTGATGATGTTAATGGTTAAAAAGCAAGAAAATATTGTTCTGTTCAAAGTGAAAATTTTCTTCCCTTTACTTTCTTTTTATTCACTCTTTTTGTTGCTGTTTAAAAAAATATTGCATTTGATACTTTGGTCAAGATAAATGACCTTTAAAGTAATAAAAACTGTGAAATATAATATTTAACCTGACAAGTTCAATTTTGTGACCAGAAAAGGAGAAAAGATGTTCGTGTTTCCTGGTTTCTACCAATTTAACCCTTCATCATGACTTTGTGCCATTCTCATTATATTTTTGCCTCAATCAATTTCCCTGAATTTTTGGGTGAACAAGAAAAAAAGAGTTGAAAAACTGAGCACATTGTGACAAAAGCAACAATAAAAAATAGCCTTGGGTGACAAGTTTAATAAGGACAACATGGAACCTCGAAATTCAAAGTTGCGCACTGAGAAGAGGGAAAAAAAGAAGAAAATGTTGAAAAAACATTTTTCGCTTCTAATGAGCTTATCGAGTAAAATTTTTCCTGTTTATGTCAGTTTTTGTGTCCAGACGACTGTTCATATGCAATGGAGTAAATGAAGTTTTCCCAAGAAAATGATTCTTTCATTTTTACATTAAATATTGATTGTTGTTTCATCTTGTTTTCATTATCAATTTGTCCGAAGCTAATGATGAATATTATCCAACAAATGATGATAATTATTTCATTTTTTCCCTTCTTTTCGCTTCACCTTCATCATGGTAATAATTGAATAGCTATTGATGAAATGGTGAACAATTGTTGTTGAGATAATATTGATGATATTATATGGTTAAAAGCTGACGATAATAAATTGCTATCCAATGTGGAAATGAAAATGCTCAGTGAAACGGTAATAATATTGTTTCATAATAATATTGATACTGATTAATAGCTATTGAACCAAATAAGATGGTAAATGAATGAAATTGTTTTTTTCGTTCATTTCTTTTCTCTTTCTTCATCAAACCTTGTTACAGTTTCATCAATATACCGATTAATCTTGGAATTATTGTTATCATGATTATCGAGAGAAAACGTAAACATTTTGAAAATGCTTTGAAAAGTGTTTGCGAGTGTTTGGTTGAAACGAAAACCGAGAAAACTAGATTTTCATTGTTTTACGAAAGTAAAGTATATTTACCTTTTTTAAGTTGAACGTTGTTTCTAAACCAGGCTAATTTGGTTTCAGGCTTGGTGAGTGAACTTGTGTTACAGGTTAAGGTTACCCTTTGAGCTTCTTTGGCATAAATGGTGTAATGATATTTACGTGTGTCACTGGAAGATACGGAATTTGGATAATTGTTGTAATAATTGAGGTCCATTTTAAAGTTGTATTGAGCCTCGATCAGTTGACTTTTAGCGGGTGAAGTTGAATTGGAAGAAGTTGAAGGCAAAGATGATATGGACGAATCATGATGATGAGTTTGTATTCTGGAAGAGCCTTTCAAGATTGGCGCTGAAGAAAATATTGTAATGTCTTTGGGTCCAACTTTTGGAGAAAAAACAAAAAGATTTTCGCTTAGAATTTCATTTACTTTTTTCGATTGCGATTCGATTCGAGAACTAAATTTTACTAATCAAATGATCATGATAATGAGTAAAGGTATTAAGACCTTAAAAATTTTTGATTTTTTCGAAACTTTCGACTTTATTTATTCGAAAGTTTTCTTCGAAAAATGCAAATCTTTAAGCTTAAATATTCGGAACAACCGATCTTATCTAATGCTTTGATTTGTATCAACAGATTTTAGTCTTGATTTCTTCTCTTCGGCTGTAGAAATTGCGATAATTAGTTTCGAATCTTGATTTCATGAGATTTTTGTGCTTTTCTTTCCTTTTTTATGGCAAGAGATAAAAGTTTTTAATGTCTTTTTGTTCATGAATTTTTCATCATTGAAACTTGGTTTCTGTGAGTAAAAATGATTGTTGAACTGAAAACTTGATTCTATTTATGAGATTTTTTAAGTAATTTGAAAAAATGGTTTATTCCAAGAGAAGAAAAGACAAAGGAAAAGAGAAAATTCATTACTAATCAAATGATAAATTGTGAAAAAGATGAGTTTCGGTGAAACAGAATATTCAGCAAAAACTTTGCAACCGGCTTTACAGAAATCACAAATTCTCATCATGATAATATCCATTGACATGATATTTATACAAAAATCATTTCATGTTCCCTGTGATTTGAACATTTTTCCCATTTCGTTTGTCAATCTTGTCTGATTAATATTAATCAATGAGGGTTTGCAAAGGAAAAGAATGAAAAAAATGATTTTCTATCTTGTCAAACATGAACTAAATATTGTAAAAACTTCTTACTTTTCCCACCAAATCATGTATATATTAAAGGAAAAAGTTGTAACGATCAGAGTTTTGGCAAGAAAAAGTACAAAAAAGGATCAGATGATGGAAAAGGTAAGAATTCAGGAAAACGGAAACAAATCGAATGAAGAAGACAAGAAATGGATGAAACGGAAGGAAGACACAAAATTTTGAAATTTTTCTTCAAACAATAAATCAATGATTTCACAGCTTTTATTCACGATATTCACCATGTAAATGAAGTGGAAAAAGTTGCAGAACAAACAGAAAGTAAAAAAGTCTGAAAATCCCAGAAACAACAGAAATGTTCAACTCTTACGAACTATGATTAACGATTGCTAACGATTAAGATTAGGTTCGTTTACGGAAATAAAGTTGATTATCGAATGTAACTTTTTTCCTCTAAACTCACGCTTTTCCATTCAATAAGTTTTTTATCAATACAAGACAGAAATGTCATGGAAAAAATTTGATGAAGTGAACAGAAAAAAATTTGCAAGAAAAATGCTTTCAAGATTATGGAATTGAACTCTTATTTTGGTGGCAACAGAAAAGTTTTTCAATTGAATTATTCTTTTTTCTTCCAATTGATATTCAGCAACGAGTTTGCCTCAAGGGACTGATTCAATCATATCAGCAACATTATATCATTCTCAATGGATTATCATGAGAATCGGCAGATTCCATCGATACCAAGATGAACAATAAATTGAAATTCGAAATGAGGTGAACTTCTGCGACAAAAAATGCTTTCAGCCTTTTCTTCTTGTATTGAATTTCTACAGAATATTGCAAAAACTTCTCTTAAGAATTTTCCAACCACAGAACTTTATTTAAGAATTTCATGCAAATTTTTTCTCGAATTTCTCGAAGTTTTTTCACAAAATAACGAACTTCAACTTCTGGCAATTTTTTTGAATTTTCCTTTTCGAACTTTTTACAGAAATTTTCTTTCGATTCATTTTCTTTTAGAAGCTTGGTTTTTAAATTCATAGAATTTCAGTTTTCTTTTGTTTGAATCTTTACGAAATTCCATTTCCAAGTTCATATTCGACTTTCTTTTCGTATATTCTTCGTTCGAAGGCCGAAGTTTGTGAATTTTGAAGAGATTAGCATTTTGTGAGTCAAATTTTATTGTAATTATCTTACGAGATAGAATTTGAGATGAAACTTGAAATTCAAGTGATGGCTTCAGCTTGATTTATACCGAATTCTGAGAACTTTTATTGATCATTAAATTATTTTTAATATCATGTAAGTTCAATTTAATGATATTCCAATAAGTATCACTTGAACCAAGTTTCATCATTATCTGTTTAATATTTTGTCGTTGACAACTTTCTTATCATTATCATCATTGATTAGCATCAAATACCCATCATGAAACTGGTTGAATCGTAAAATGAACCTAAATGTAATTCAATTAGAATTCATCATTTTTTGGATTCATATTTTTTCCCATTCCTGGGAATGCAACTCAATAAAGTTTATAAATTATAGCTTAAATCAATTCTTACCCATCACAGTTAATTTTGAGCCTGATCGGATTGGTTTATTATTGAATGCTGGACCAACCTTTTGAACATAAAGATGACATGAAAAAGTTGATTAATCAGAAGAAGAAGAAAAAAGAGAAAAATATTGAAAAGATTATTGAGTTTCATTCAATGCTGATGAAATCTAAACTTACCTGACATTGATAATCTCCTTCATCTTCTAATTGGACGTTAGTTAATTTTAAATTGAATACTCCTGATGATTGGTGAACTTTCATAGAATATCTTGGAAATCCTGGAATTTCAGGATCAAAACCTTTCAAAAGAACAGAATAAAGAATTAGAAAAAGTACATTTTAATGATTGATAAAAAAATCTTGAAATGATGGTCAACATGGAAAAGAAATGAAAAGTCAACATTTCAGATTCAAACTTTTACGCTTAAAATGAAAATTCTGTCAACTCTGAATTGAGCTAAAAAAAGGTTGATCCAAATGATGGTAAATTTAAAGTGTCAAATTTTAATGAAAATGAACAAAATTGAAATGGATTAAACTGAAGAAGAGCGATAAAGTTTGAAGGGTTTCGAGTGAAAGGATTGATTCGAATGGATTAATTGAAATTGAATAAGATTAAGGGAAGAGAAATGATATAATGGAATGATAATGATGATCGGGAAAGCAAATGATGAGTGTGATGATGATGAGCTTGGAAGATGCAAAGGCAAATGTGATTGTTGGAAGGTGAATAAAGGGTTGGAAGAGTAAACACAAATAAAAGGAGAAAAGGAAAGGATAAAAAGCAATCTCATCTAATTTTATCTTCAAATTTCAGTTGCAACTCTTTGCTCTCCATTTCAGGCAAATTATTGTTATTCACAATTAAATTATACAAAACTCAGCATTTGACTTTTACGTTATTTTATTTTCTTCCCTTTCATTTGTTGGTAAAACTTGTTTTTTTGGGCAAATTGTAATTGATGGCATGATGATGATGAGCAAGGCAAAATAGGTTGGATTTGTTCAGTTTAATTTGGATCACCTTTTTAGAATAAGATTAAATTGAAAAGTGTTTGCAATTACTTTTGATTGCATTTTAATATTTACAGTTTCAATTGATCGCAAACGAGTTGAACGGTTGCAAGTTGAAAAGAGTGTTAAAAGGGTTGTAATGTTAGTTTGTTTGCAAACAAAAAGAGTTGACGAGATAAAGTGAAAAGTGTTAATGGAAATGTTGAAAAAAATGTATCTTTTTAATTAGCGTTAATTAGAAAATCATGTCACAACTTATTTAGCTTCAATTAACTTTTTGCCTCACGAATTGAGTAGAGTGAAGTAAAGACAAAAGAAGTTTTTTTTCACCTTTTTTCAGGCAACGTTTCACTTGTTACATCTTCTTTCAATGTTTACCAATATCATTATCGGTTAGAGGGTAAAAAATGAAAAGATAATCATTTGTATTGATTTTTCCGCTTTACTTGTGTATTTAAGGGTTGCAAAAGTGGATTAAATTTCATCATTAGATTCAATTTGCATTTTGTCTGCTGGTCTTGTTTTGAATCCTCATTAAGCTCAATGAGCAACTGAAGTTGCAATCGATTTATGAGTTGAGATAATGAGATACTAGACAAATAAATAAATTGCCATTTTTCGATGAATATTGACAGTCGCCAATGAAGTGACCTTGAAACTTCTAAAAAGGTCCTGGAATTCTTATAAGCATAAAAAAATCCACTTCAAGATTGTTGTCAAAGTGAGCGGGTTCTAATTGAAAACTTGAATTGAAAGACCTATGCAAATTGCGACGCGAAAATAGACAACCTCACCTAAGCGTTCTGATTTTGGGTGGATGATAATGTTATTATGATAGAAGTGAATTTGCAAATGTCATTTACTCACTGGTTAAATTACTGACTGACCTTGAGTGTTCTAACTTATGGTTCTTCAATCTGCGGGAGGTCCAAGTCAGTGGTCTGTAGCATTAACTGTTCGTAGTTTATGAGTACAAACAGGTAGAAAAATAACAAAACGCCCAGTACAAAACCCAAAGCAATAGGTAATTAGGTAGGCTCTTTAAATTATATAAAATTTTCTAATTAATTTTGTTAATTTCGAAAGAACTCGATTAAATTGAGGATTTCATTGGAAAACTTATTTTGATGAAATCGCACATCATAATAAAATGTACAAATGTATTTTTATAATAATACGACAATAAAAAATAGCGATAGATGGCAGTTAAGAGACAAAAAGTTCAATTTTTGCTGTAATATTTTGAAGAATGCAGAAATGTAGTTAAGAATGATGTTCTGAAGAATGAACTTTGAAACCGATCATCACTCAAGCTCTTCAGATTTCCCTTTGAATCTGACGACACTTCAAGATTTTCATTTCAATTTGTCTTAAAATTTGAATTGTTGAAGGTTTAAATAGTATTACCTAAAAGGAAACCATCTTTACTCCATTGAACGGAGCCTTTTTGATTGCCAACTGTACATTCAAGTTCAACATCATCGCCTTCTGTAACTGTCATGTCTACAGGTACAACACGAAAAAATTGATGAAACGATGATTCTGTTAGGGAAGAGAAAAAAAATGAGACGAAAAAAAAGATGAGTAAACACAGAAGAGAAGAGATAAAAAGGTAAGAAATATTGATTTATAAAAGCTCTGTAAGATGATGAGAGAGAAACTGTCAAAACAAGAAGATAAAAAAATATCCTAAACCATTATTATCACAATAATATCCGGTTCTATTAATATCTTGTTAATCTTTTTTCCTTACCAACATCCCAATTGATACTTATTGATAATACTATTACTTGAAATGATGATAATAAGCGAAGAATAAGAAAGACAAAGGAAGATGAGAGTCAACTTGCAATGAAATCTTTTCAGTTTCATTGTCAGAATGCACATGTTTCTCCTTATCATCTGTTGATAATAATGATTCTGTTCATAGCTAATGATGATAGACAACGTTCATTGTTTTGTCAAAGTTTACCATTTTTTTGTTACTCTCTTGACTGTTAATAAACATTATCGTTATTATAGTTTTCACTCTATTATTATTTCGAGTTTTCATAAAACTGAATAGTTTTTGTTTGCCTTCTCTGTTTTGAATCAAAAGTGATGAGATAACATCAACAGGGAGTAACTGAGAATGTCAAGGTGAAAAGTGAGATAAAGTTTTGGCAAAGAAATTGGTTGTAAAAGAGAAGTTGAAAAAGTAAGGTTCATTAGTTGAGGAAGACCAGGTAATGATAGAGATAAAGACAATGTTGTTTTAACAGAATGCTATCTGAATGAGATGAAAAGGAAAATTGATGAAAGGACAATTGTTTCGCCATGTATTTCAATTGCTTGTAATTCAATAGTTTGTGAGTTTAATGCTTTCAAATTGCTCAACAGATAAAGCTTGACTTTTGAATATTTCCAATCATTTATGTTTCACCTTTTTGTTGCTGTTTTTTTTCAACTTTTTTCATGTTCAGTTGAATCAATTGTTGGCAAGTTTGACTGTGCCATGTTGTAAATGGAGTGAAAAGGAAATGATTTGAAACAAAACGAAGCAAATAATTGAAGCAAACAATTGATTCCACCGATGATCAAGATGATAATGATTATGGTCGTGGACTGGGAATGAATACTGGGATTGGGAATAACTGTGAATGTGAAGGTAAAAAGACAAGAAAAGGATGACGCGAGTCGAATCAGTCGAGATACATTATTATGATATTAGTGAGGGTATTAAGAAAGGAAAGCGTAATGATGATGATGATGAGTATGGCAAGAAAAAGAAGGGATAAAAAAATATTATTTATATGATGAGAACTGATTGGGAAGGATAAACAGGGAATGATAAGGCCAGAATAGTGGTTGTGATCAATTAACCAGAGAAACAGTGAAAGGAAGAAAACCTGAAACTAATCTGGTAGGATTTTGTTTAAAAACTTATTCAGTCTCGTTATAATTGTGAGCTTTGGTTTTCTCGTTGAAAGGACATTGACAGGGAGTGAAAGAGCATAATTGAGCGGCAGTAAGATAACAACTAAATACTGCCAAAGATAAGGGTGATGATGATAATGATAGCATTGTTAATCTGATGAAACGGAAATATCTTGAGAGGCTCTTTTTTGCTTCATCTTTACTCTTCAGCCTACCTTCCGTTATAAGATAAGCAAGTAAAGCTTGAAATCATGTTCAAATTAATATAATGAGTTATCAAATGCATGGCAAGTGTGCTCAGTGAAAAAGTGAATATAAAATGAAAGTAAATTAATTAAGAGGAGAAACTGAAAGTGCAAGACTGGGAGTTGGCTGGGAGTTTAAGTGGGAGTGAAAGCTGGGAGTTGGAATTTGATAATGAATAACAGCTTGAGGCTTATAGATTTAAGCGATACTTCACGTGAGCGTGTGGTATGTTTTTGTGGATAAGAATGCTTTAGAGTCTAAGCTCACTTGGAATCTGCTTTTATTAGACTTGAAAACGGTAGCATCACTCCCAGTGAGAATAGCATAAGATAACCTTTTCTTTTGCAAATGCTTATTTCTTGTTTCTCTCGCTATCAACAACTTTCCCAAGCTTACATCATCATAATCATTAATTTTATTTTCATCATTCCCTTAGTTCGTCATCTTTCCTCACTCCCAGCTACTTACTTTTCAGCTTTTCTTACACTTTTTCAAAAGTGATTCTCATGATGATGATGATGTAGTTATCTTTCTGTCTTTCAATGAGCTTGAATAAATTCTGACCAATGTGTTACTCAGAATATATTAGAATTAAATAATCTTGAAGCCTTTTCTGTTTAATGCTTCTCTCCACTCAATTTAATACCCGATTCTAATAACAAAATGTCTCGTCTTCTTCCTTTGACTTGCTTCATCTTCAACTTTATCCTTTTCATCATAATCATAATCATTTTCATCCTCTTCTTCATGTGTCAAGTTCACCGAGAATACAAATTTGGCAGTTGCACAGAAAGTTGAGTTTTATCACGCTGATTCAGTTTACCTTTTTAACCTTGCCTTTTGTTTTTCATTAGCTTATAAAGTAAACTTTGAGATATCATTGAGATTCAACTGTTTTACTGTGAAATGAAATAATGTAAAGACGAAACAAAAGTAAAAATATCTCAACATGGGAACAAAAAGAAAATATGAAAATGAAATTTTTCCTTATCTAATACTTAAGGTTAATTTTGAGGAGAAGAGATGAGAGTGAAATGATGATGAAAGAGAAGAGAAGACAAAACCAAGAATAGAAAGATAATGATGATCTTTGATGTACTTTTTCACGCTATCATTATTATTAACATTATTATCAGTATTTTTATGTTCCCCTAATATGATTAACATTATGAGTTGGATCATCTTCATGAACAGTAATCATCGTCATTATGATGCCTTACTACCAACCATACAAACCATAGTAAATACACTTTAACCTCTAAACTTGAAAATACATAAAACAAGAGTTAAAAGAAGAAGAAAGAAAAAAATGTTTATCGTAAACAGCCATTCTCATCATTCTCATCACCATCATACTCATGAGTGTACATCATGTTCAAGAAAAGGGGTTGGACACCAAGAAAATATCTGATGGAGAATGAACAAGGTAAAAGAGTGAAACATTAAGAAAAGTGTAGATTCCAAGTAATCTCTTGAATATGAATGAAAGAAGCCAATTTACAAACCAAACTAATTGGATCCTTGTATTAATAAGTCTCATGAAATGTTCAAGCAAAAATATCAAAAGGCCAACTGCTGTTTACTCGCTTTCATTTCTGATAAACCATTTTCTTGAATCTTCATCAAATATCTTTACAAACTCGAAATTAAACTTTCAAAATAAGTCATTCACCCCAGAATTCAGACTGAAAGAATTCGTCAAAATTATCAATTATGATTGCGACTCAAAGAGAAGAGTTTCTCTTTGTTGGAACTGGAGTAGGTTGGATCATCAAAGTTAGTCTGATTCCGTCAAGTGTAGACTTCGGAAAGTGGAGGGTCAGAAGTTATTTATTTGCCTAAAAAATATAATCTAAATCTTATTAACAATTAGATCATGAACTGATTTTTGCAATATGATCTGTAAGATTTTCTGACACCGAAAAGATTAGATGACAATTTCCCAGTCTTAATGTGAATCCAGAGATGTTACAACTTGATCAGTAAATTTAAATATTCCAAAAATGATGTGACCTTTATAAGACCTCTAAAACTATGAGGAGGGAATCCCAAAAATGACCTTGGATAACCTTCACCTTGAAATATAGCAAACAAGTATCAAATTCAAAAAAATCTTCAAGCCGATTGTCCATCCGAGAGCCCAAAGATCCAAGTGTCAAAGATTAGCTAAAATTTCCTGTATATGTCCGGAACAGAATCGACTTTTTAGACAATTTAAAAAAAAGAAGAGTCAAAGGGAAATGAAAGTAAAGTCAGCAAAACTAATTAAACATAGAAATGGTTTTTCTACAGACATGTTCAGAATCCATTCAACGTCATTTCTAGCTGAATAAGAATTGTATTAAGCATCTAAAATTTTGTAAATTGTTTTTTGATAAAAACTGAAAATCAATTAACGCTATTTTTATTGACTGAAAGAATCCTTATAAACATCAATGAAAGCACAATGTAATTGTTTGGTATTATTTTTGCATTAACATGAATCATTTTCTTGCCATTTTAAACTTGCACCTTTCAATTTAACTATTGAAACTTTATCATTCTCCAAAGCCATGATATCCTGATAAAATGAATCAGATAAAAATGAAATAATATATAAAACAGGTAAAAAGAGTATAAACAAGTTTATCCTTGATAAGCTTGTTAAGAAACTTGAAAATCATTTTTCTTTCAACCAGCAAAAAAAATGATAAAAACTCACAGAACATGATGAGAAGGCAGAAAAGGTTATTCCAGCCAAGACTGGGAGGAGAAGATGAAAAACACTTACACAGAAACAGCATTAAACCCTTAAGCTATTGTGATGATATTTTCCCTGAAAACCAAACTTGCATCATTTAAAGCATCATTTTTTGATAATGACCATTCCAATTGTTTTGTCAAGTTAAAGGAATAAAAATTCTTATTCTTTTTTTTTCGTCTTTGAATAATAAACTAAACGATAAAAACAAATTGAAATATCGATTCATCAAACATGCATTAAATTTTTAGCTGAATTCATGTAAATTTTCCTCGAGGTGAAAAGCTTAGAAAAAAGACTTTCACCAAATGATTTGTCAGTTACAGCTATTAATAGGAAATGAAGCAAATTCATCGTTTCAACGAAAGTCTCGATTAAGAAGAATTTCGTTTCATGGAAAATCTGAAAAGTTGAAGTTTCATTAACAGATTTGCAACCGAAGTTTTGATCGTAAAACGAGATAAATTGCAGGGAATTTTGTTCTTTTTCGAATTAATTTTTCACGATTCATGTCGATACTTTTAATGAATGTTGAACTTTACTGAACAGTTTAAATGAAGTTATCATTGAAACTGAACTTCTTTTCCTGACATTTTTCATTCAATTTCATGGCTTTGAACAATCTGCCGAGTAAAATTAT